TATATATATGCGCCCAGTTTAAAGAAACAATGATGTCATTAAATCCTTAAAAAGCAAATTGATTAAAACAACATCGGTGTTAAAATTCAGCCTCCTGCTAATGTGCTAATGTTTGTTAGCAGGTGAGCCGACGGTCCTGATCCAGCAGAGAGGAAGTGACAGGAAGTGAGCTGAGGTGACAGGAAGTGAGCTGAGGTGCCAGGAAGTGACAGGTGTTGCAAGTGCAGGGAATGTAAAGGAAACCGTTTCTTACTTGAGAGACCAGTATCTTGACTTCCTGTCTCGTGAACCTTCAGACTAAGAGCTGTGTGAGTAGTAACTGAGCATGCTTACTAAAATGACTTCACTGAAGGGGGCGGGGCTTTCAGATATTTAAGGAAACCTGATCAAACACATCCTCTCATTGGTCTGGTCAGAATGTAACCATGGCAACGATTAAAGTCTCCTCTGTCTCCACCTGTGCAGACGTCAGAGGTGAGGTGGGCGGGGCTTTCAGCGGGCGTGACTCTGGTCTCAGAACTCGACCTTGCAGGCGGGAAAGGTCTCCTCCTGCATGGCCACGGTGCTGTTGCTGCCCAGCACGGTGACTGACAGGTCCCTCTGCCTGTCATGGGTCTCCTGGTACCACTCATGCATCGCCAGCGAATCAAAGGTTGGGATCAGAGTCACCTGAGGACAGGTCATAAACAGGCCAATCAGAGAACAGATCATAAGAAGGTGAAGCAAACAAACATCAGTGGGCATTAACGGACCTGAACCTCCGGCCAGTTGCTCTTCCCCTCCAGCAGGGCGTCCAGGATGCTCCTCATTGCCACCTCCTTCACAGGGTTGTCTCCACTGATGATGTAATACGAGGAGCGAAGACGTCTGAACAACTCCAGGTCCACGGTGGAGGAGGCGCAGCCGGACGGCAGGTAGGCCAGGTCCACATAGACTGCAGAACCCTCAGAACCTGCAGCTTTAGAAGCTGACAAGAAGTCAGCCGAACGAGAAACACGTCATTAACACAACAGTTTTGCTGCTGCGTTCCACCATCACATGACGAGAACAATCAAAGGTTTGAAGCAGAGATAAAGGACCTGGTAATATAATAATAACAATAATAAACTTTATTTATATGTCATCTTTCATACAAAGCTCTTTGTCAAGACTTTTTGGTCAGGTTATGTGTACTAATAAGAAATGTGTATGATTTATTGAGCTGCTGCAGCCACTTTCTTCTTTTAACAGAGATATCTACCCTTTCTATTGTTTAGTTAAAACATTCATTTAGTTACGTTGTATGCCTGAGATCCTTTAAGGGGTTAATCGTGAGGGCGTACATAATATTCTTGTTTCACTTTGACGGCTCATTGTCGGCGAACCTTCGGCAGGAGCATACAGCCCGTCAGTAAGTAGCATAACAACTGCTAACTGCAAGCAGCCTGCTAATGATGGTTAACTCATGAATAGATGGTCGTGTTGACGTTCACCACGCTATCCCGACGTGCCGTAGGTGGCTCATAATGTGTTGTTTACTAGCGTGATAGGCGTTCTGCCTCCGGCGTGAGTGTAGCTCAGCGCTCTCGGCCGGCACTCGGCTAACTCCCGGGAGCATTCTCGGCGGTCGGGGTTGGCCGGGACATGCCGGTGGTTGAGCGCTCGGTGGGCAAATGCGTACGGTGGTGTGGTGAACGGCAACTTTGACTCTGTGGTCTGTTGCAGAGCATTGTATTGTGTTTCGTGTCTCTTGTAACTTATCGGCAGCGCTTCCAGTTGGTATACACTGGCCGTGTCTCAACACGTCCGTGCTGCCGTCTGGGGACTGCTTTGCGCGTGCTCCCGGTGTGCTAGGCTTTCTGGGAGATGTAGTAAATGTGGTTGATTTGGGTCTTCTGTGATGTATTTGAAATTATTACTTATGTAAATGGTGTGCAGGTAGATTCTTCTTATGTGTATGGCAATAGTAGCTGATGGGGTAATAATTAACCAGCTTACAAACATGTTTTATTAATGGAAAAAAGTGGAAACATCTGTTCAGCAATCTCAGTTTCACATGTAACTTTTTGCATCTGTTTTTGTTGTTTCAGGTTTATGACCTGTGGTCATTTTGTTATCAAAATAAAGAAGACAAAAAGGAAAACACGAGTTATAACTTTGTGTGCTGCCTGTCGAGCCTTGTCGGAGGGCTGAAATGTAAAAAAGATCCGAACAGTCTTTACAATAGGAGCAGTATAAGCCCTGCAGTTCGGACGTCTGTAAGTTCGAAAGTGTTTCTGAGTTTCTGAGAGAGTGTTGTAAAATATTTGTAGAGTACTCTGTGTCATGTTTTCAGGACGGTGCCTGCCTACCTGAGGACGAAGGTTTTGCAGGTGCGACTCTGGAGCCTCCCAGTGAATTTCGGGATGACGGCTTCATGTCGATGCTGGAGGTCATCTTCAGGGAGCCTGTGGAGGTACCGACCTTTGACTTTCCGTTCTGGGCTGTGGTACTTCCAGAGGTCGCCTTCATCGTCGTACCGGTTGGTTTCTTGGTCTTGGTGGCTGAACTCTTCAGACTACGGCTGCCCTCCGTGTCGGCCATGCAGGCTCCAGGCTGGGGTGGTAACGGGGGCAGATCTTTGACCGGGGCTGGCGGCGGGTCGTGTCCTCCTCTGTGGGAGTAGTGGGGACTCGGGTGATCTTGTGGATGAGTGGGTGGGAAAAGGCCACTGGAATCATCATCAGACTCCATGTCTGCTGTGATGGAGGGACAGTCCTCTGTACAGGGCGGGACGTCAGAGTCCGTGGCCGTCAGGAGGGAGTCGCTGACTGATGTGGGTGGAGTTTCTTGGCTGTAGGCTGAAGGACAGCCGCTGCTGCTTTGATCCTGTGAGTGGTTGTTGTTGTCGGAGATGTCTAGTGAGTCAGCAGCGGCGAAGCCAGGGCTAACATGCTGCTGATGGTTCTCTGGAGTCTTGGGGTGCTGGAACTCACAGGGCGACACCAAGCAGAGATCAACATCATGTGGAACATCTGAGATAAGCTCTGATATCCCGTGGACGTGCTCTTCTGAGCAGCTATTATGGTTGGACCTCAGAGGTAGGGAGTCCGAGTCGCTAACGTGTCCGTTAGAGTAGACTCTGTCTGCGGCAGGTCCTCTGGGCGACACAGCAGCCGGTGGAAGTGTTTGCTCTAAAGAAACCGATAGAGATTCATCGACTTCTGTGGAGTGAGGAGAGCCAACCTCAGCCGGCAGGGAGGTGATGGTGGGGGAGGAGTCTGGCATGATGTCTTTGAAAGGACTGAGCGTCAACAGACTGGATTGTTTGTCCTGAGAGGAGGAGGAGGAGGAGTTCTCCACAGCGTCCCTCGGGGAGCTCAGGTCGGACGTCCTACAACCTCCCTGGTTATAATCCTCAAAGCCCAGACTGGACCCTCGCACCCCAAGGCTTCTGTCCTCACCTAAAACCTGAATGTCCTCCTCAGAGGATGGATGGAAAGGCTTGCGACCTGCACAGTTAGAGACGTGGTCCGTCTCCACACAGCGAAACTTCTCTGGACTCTCCACTGTGCAGGTCTGGTTTCCGTTGGCCTGTTCTCCATCAGGACTCGTGACTGCAGTGATCACAGAGTTCTGATTTCTGTTCCTGTTGTTGTCTTCCAGTCGAAGTCTTTCAAATTCAGCCGTCATGTCCTCAGGTGTGGACACCTTGGACCGATCTGCCTCCTTCTGGTTTTCCTGCTCCTTTGGACCTGGTTTACCTTTTGTCCCTTTATTCAAAGTGTCTTTCTTTGGGAGAGTCCCATCTTTCTTCAGAGACCCACTCTTGCCCAGACCTTTCTTTACGTCTGTACTTCCTGTTGAAGCTGCACTTGTTGCTTTCTTCACTTCTTTAACAGCTGGTTTTGCAGTTTTCTTCTCCTCTGCTTTGACGTCCTTCTTGCTGTCTTTTTTTGGTTCAGGTTTGATGTCTTTCTTTGGTTTTGCACTTAGAGTTTCCTTCTTTACCGCTTCTTTCTTCTTCTCTCCACTCTCTTCTTTCTTTACAACAGCAGCAGCGACCTTCTCGTCCTTCTTTTTCACTTCCTTTTTCTCTTCTTTTGACGTGTCTTTCTTTGGGACAAGTTTCTCAGCAGGTTTTGATTTAGCGTCTGCGTCCTTCAGTTTGGACTTTTCATCCCATTCCTTCTTATCTTTCGGAGCGGCGTCACTTGCTGCCTTTGGCTTTGTTTTCACCTCCTGTCTCTTGACGTCTACTCGTCCAAGCTTGTCTTTCTGTAAGGCACTAATGGGTCTGGAGTCCTTGGACTGTGACTTAAGGCTTTCCCGACTCTCTGCTCGTTTTGGTTGTTTCTCTGTTTTGGATGTTTCGAGGTCCTTGAAACACACAACCGGATGTTTGAGGAAATCCAGATGTTTGAGTTTTTCAAGTCCATCCAGAATTTTGGTCTGCGGCGTGCACCCTGGGAAAAGGACCCGGATGATCTTCTCCAGAGGACTGGAGGGATGCCAGACCAGCAAAGCACAAATGGACACAAGGCATGGCAGTGGAAGATCTGAGCCTTTTACGTTTGATCCGTTGTTTGGCCAAGTCTGCATTAAAGCTTCGAGGTGTTTGCTGCCGCTGACTGGATTCAGCGGGTACAGCTCCAGACGACCCACTCCCATCTTCTGAAACAAGATAACTGGTTCTATACTGGGTCCGTTAGAGCGGCTGAGAGGTTCAGGTTTAATTGAAAGTCTCTGTAAATGCTGCAGGGTGAGAGCCACCTGGTCGCAGCTTCGCAGCTCACTGGGATCTCCTCGCAAGGACTTCAGTCTGTCGGGAACATTGAGGAAGACCACCCCGATCTCAGGCGAGATGAGGTTCTTCATCCAGTCCTCTTCAGTCTGAGCTCCAGCAGACTCCTCCTCCTGCTCTGCCACTTTCCTCAGAAGCAGACTGTTCAGTCCGGGCAGGTTGTCCACGCCGATGTGAGTCAGGAGCACCGAGTCAATTCTGTCCAGGTGTCGAACCAGTTTCCAGAAGCAGGAGCAGGGATCGGAGCCGCCATTCACCAGGACGTTAAAACCATTAACAGCAAAGAAAGCAGAGTCCCCCCTCCCCCCAGGGAAGATGTAGCAGCAGGGCCGAGAGAGTTTCAGGAATCCCACGGTGCTTGGGGGCTCCAGGAGCTCGAAGGGCGACTCGGGCTCCAACGACTCCGACAGGTACTCTGTGAACTCCTGCAGACCCTCCATCTCTGGGAGGACAATGGGAGGGTTGATCTGGATGTTGATGTAGTCCTGCAGGTTGTGTTTGTCCAACGCAGAGTGTCTCCAGAGACCAAAGTCTGGACAACTGAGGGTGAGACTGGACTTCACCGCCGGGTCTGCATTGCTCAACAACTCTCCAACCTTCAGAATAGAGAGACATCAAACACGTCATCATCATCATCACCATCATCACCATCATCATCATCATCATCATCACCATCATCACCATCAACATCATCATCAGGAGCCTGAATATTAACACACTTGTTCTGTCCGACCAACAGTTCACTGCTATTAATCATAAAGATCAGATACGGTTATTGATCCCAAGCAAAGACATTCAGGTCCATCTACAGTTTTACAAACAGATAGTTTAAGATCACTTCAACAGAGATTTTGGATCACACACATTAACACACACACACACACACACACACAGAGTATTGATCAGAGTGAGTATCAGTATCAATCAGTATCAGTGGCGTTCTGACCTCCTCGTCAGTGAAGATGTGGATGAAGTCGCTCAGAGAGAAGCAGCCTCTCTGTAACACGATGTCTCCGGACTCTTCCACACACTGACCAGCCAGAACCAGAAGTTTGTGTCGCGAAGAGTCACAGACCAGCCGCCGCACCTGAGCGCACAAACAGGAGATACATTATCGGAGGAGGAGGAGGAGGAGTCAAGTCAGACAGGGAAGGGCTAACAGATGTTTATGTTTATGTTTATTTCGGTCATTCAACAAAAAGTACAACGCAGCACAACGTAGTGTCTCTCTAAGGTTATGACGCCTACTCTTCTCACCTTGTTACAACTAGCAGAAAAAATATATTTTGTGAAGATTCATAATTTACACTATTTCCTGTTCAAGTTGAAATGCAAAGGCAACAATACCAACTGATTACACATCCCCAGTTGACAATTTCCCGCAGCAACAAACAAAACTTAAAATACCTAATTCCCAAAAATCAAACATTTTGCTTGTATGTGTCTGAGGAGACTTTAAATCTTTGAAATGTCTCACATCATTTCAATTCATCCTCAAGATTGTTCCATGAATTCACCTCCTTTATAGAGATGGACATACATTTAATATTAGTCCTAGCTCTTATTTTTTAAAGTTCATACTTACAATCTTTTTTTTCAAACATATTTACAATTTTACTCTGTAATAAGTTGTTATGAACTTTATACATTATCTGCGCAATCTTGTAATCTACTAAATCCTGGAATTTAAGTGCTCTTAATTTTACAAATAAACCATTAGTGTGCTCTCTGTACTGTGATCTTGTGATGATTCATATGGCTCTTTTCTAGGGCTGTAGTCTCCTGGTCGACTAGTCGATTATTTGGTCGCTATGCTCTCGTCCGACCAAATTCTCATTGGTCGAATAATCGCTGCGTTACTTTCATAAGGAGAAAAGTGCTACATCAACAGCTTTCCAGGATTAATCCATTATTTCCTGCGGGGGGGGACAGGCTAAGTTACCTGTGAAAATGGGGGTGTTTTCAAAACACCCCTGTTGTTGACAGAAAGTTGGACTCGCCCACCCTCACGCTCAGTGTCGCGGTGACGCAGACCTCCTGTCTGTTTAATATAAGACAGTTGTTTTGTCGGTGAATGTTGTGAGTTGTAATGGAGCCAAATTATGTGCCGATACCTTTGTTACATGTTGCTGTTGTCCCTGGTTTTATATGAGAAGAGGAAAAGCTAGGCTAATATATACAATGTAAAATGCCATAGGCTTGTGCTAATAACGTTAGCATGTTGTATTTGTGGGGAAAATGTGTCCAGATAAAGAAAAGTGTTTGTCATTGCTGCGATTTATAGTGAAGCCAGTTTGCATACTTGTGTTTGAAATTGTCTCTATTAAGCCATGTTTAATGTGTGTTTACTGTGTGTTTAATGTGTGTTTAATGTGTTTTGAATCAACTAAACTTTACATCACTTAACACAGTCCTCCACCACCGACTAGTGTTTTGGAGGTGTAACTGCAGAGTGACACAGACACACCAACGCAGAAGTAAAAATAACGTGCAGATTTTTTTTTCCCCCACAACTAATCGATTAGTTGAAGATTATGTGCGACTTTAGTCGACCAAGATTTTCTTTGTTTGACTACAGCCCTACTGTTTTCTGTAAAATAAAGACTGATAGAGTGTCTTGTATGCATTTCCCCAAATCTCCAGGCATGATGTTTGGAACAATTAATGAGCAGTACATGATATACAGAGCCTACCTGTTGAACAGATCCTTGGTCTTATATAGTGTTGCTATCGACCGTGATATTTTTGATTTTACATGATTAATATGCATTTTCCAGCTTAATTTACTCTCCAGTATGACACCCAACATTTTTGTTTCATTCACTCTTTCTATTTCCACATCATCCATTCTTACTTTAACCTCATTAATCTTGCAGTTTTCAAAGATCATAAACTTTGTTTTGCTTGTATTTAACTTATTTACATCAAACCATTTCTCGACTAGTTTAATTTCCTGTTCAACAGTTTTAACAAAGTCTTTTAAGTTACTCCCAGAATAGAAACATTGGTGTCATCTGCAAATAGAATACTGTTTAAACAGCTGGACACTTTAAATACAAAATAGATCATTAACACTGTTAGTGTCTCCACTCACCTCTGAGCAGACAAAGTCATGAGCCGGATTCACAACAACCTGAGTGTCCAGAACGTCTCCGCGGTGCTGCAGCGTCCTCTGACCTGCAGGACAAACACATCAGCTGTTCACTACACTGACAGGAAGTCAACATGCTAACAGCTAGCCCTCATATCAGTTCTACTGAGCACTGAAGAGAACAACAGCAGGAAATTGTCACTAACAGTTTCACAGCTAGCTCGTCCCAACAACTCAGACATTAAAATACTGTTAAAAAACAAACTGTGAGACTTTAACTCTTTCATTACGGATGAGGTGTTGAAGGTGAGAACATGACTCTGTATGAAGCAGCAGAACAGGACATCCAAGGCCTCAGGCAGGACATGAACATGTGTGAGTGAACGCTGGACAGAGGAGCTCAGTGTCAGACTGCAGGACGAGTGGACGAGACGTAAGACATGCTGCCATTGGTCATCCAGTAAAACACCTCCCACTTCCTGCTCCCATCGATCTCTCTGTTCGACAGCTCCAAGCTTCAGATTCAATTTTTATTTAATGGTTTTATTAAATTTGTGTCTGTTGATTCTGTTGAAAGTCGTCAGAGACACATTAAGATCAAACATCTGCGATAACTGCAGAGCGTCATTACGGTTATTAAACACACATCAAAGAATCGACTCCAAAAATCACATCATGTTTTTAGCTCATGACATATTCTGCTTCAGGTCAGAAACAGTGGGACATTACATCTCATCCTTTCATCAGTGACTTTGTTAAACTGAAGAGTTTCTTAGGGTGATGACACCATAAAACATGACGGCAGACATTCAAAGCTTCATGTGAACCTGTTTGTAGAAGCCGCTGGGTATTAACTGTTTTATCAGGGCTCAGCAGCCAATGAGGAGTCTGTGGAGGGTCTGTGGAGGGTCTGTGGAGGTCTGTGGAGGGTCTGTGGAGGTCTGTGAGGGTCTGTGGAGGTCTGTGAGGGTCTGTGGGGGTCTGTGGGGGTGACGAGGGAATTAAGATTCTGTTTAAAATGAAAAAACCTGAGAGGATCAAACTTATTTAACACTCTGCAGAGGACAGAAAAGATCCTTAAAGTATTTCACTGCACCAATAAACGCTCCCACTGGTGGGTCATGTGACAACCGGCTGGTAACGAATGATGTCATATTACAGGGAAACAGGAAGATAAAACGTGTCTGAGGAGAGAATCATACGACTCAGACAGAGTCTGGGTTTATATTTGATCAGAGCTGATCTCAGTTCACACAGACATGGCGCCATAGAGCCGCAATGACGTCCCATCTTTACACCTCCTTTGTGTTTTCACACAGAACCAAACAGCGGCGGCATCATGTGGCTCCAGTGTGTGATTTCAGACAGCATTATGACATCACAGACAAATATCAATCTGAGATAAATATGGAGGAGAAGTTGGTCATTGTTTACATCTGTCCCACAGACAGACAGGAAGTAGATCAGCTCTGCACTCAGGGTTTCTGGTTTGTAGGCTATGACATGGTGCTGGTTATCGCTTAGCAACCTCAGATGCAACCTGCTGCCACGCTCTTGAAAGCTCTTACAGAAAAGGCACAAGAGTTGCAGCCAGCGCCTGACCTCATGTTTCCCAGGCGGTTAAAGACACAGCATGTGTACGGGCCCAAACACAGCAGGTCACAGGTGCGTGTGTAACGGGTCGGCTCTGGTACTGAGCTTTATGGGTGTGGGCAGGTTCAGGTTTTTAAAATGGACCCGTGCAGGACTCTGATGAGGAGGATTTGAGCTGAGGGAGGAGCAGGGAGGTCTGGAGGGAAGTTTACCACAGTAGCATCACTGTGATGACACAGAGCTGGACACAGTTTTTCTTTATCATACGTCTGCTGTAAAAATAAAGTTATTTAAAAGCTCCATGAAGCCCAAACTGCTCAGAGCCTGAATCTGACTGAATAAGTCAGCAGCAGGTCCAGGAAGTGACGGAGGGTCCAGGAGGTGATGAGGGTCCAGGAGGTGAGGAGGGTCCAGGAGGTGAGGGAGGGTCCAGGAGGTGAGGGAGGGTCCAGGAGGTGATGAGGGTCCAGGAGGTGATGAGGGTCCAGGAGGTGACGGATGGTCCAGGAGGTGATGAGGGTCCAGGAGGTGATGAGGGTCCAGGAGGTGACGGATGGTCCAGGAGGTGACGGAGGGTCCAGGAGGTGACGGAGGGTCCAGGAGGTGATGGAGGGTCCAGGAGGTGATGGAGAGTCCAGGAGGTGAGGAGGGTCCAGGAGGTGATGGAGAGTCCAGGAGGTGATGGAGAGTCCAGGAGGTGAGGAGGGTCCAGGAGGTGATGGAGAGTCCAGGAGGTGAGGAGGGTCCAGGAGGTGATGGAGGGTCCAGGGAGCGTTTAGAGGACGACGGCTGAGGGCCGTCACTTCTGCTGTGGTACCAAACCTTGCAGAGGAAACATCTGGTGATGTCAGACTACTGACATCATCTGACAGCTGTTAACACACAACACAACTCATCAGATGATGCAGCGTCTACAGATGGACAGGGGCATGATGGGAAACCTTAGATAGGACAACCATATTAACCAGGTTGACTCCGCCCACCAGAGACCAGCCCACCAATCAGAGTCAAGTTTACGTCTTTCAGGAGGGGCTGAGACATTTTAATACACACGTCGTCCAAGGACGGACGTTCAGCTGAGGTGTGTGTGTGTGTGCGTGCGTGCGTGTGTGTGTAGGTTTAGTTTATATCCTGTCTAACACAGAGACCTGTAGCATTCAAAGGTCTGACCTTTGACCTCCTCTGGCTTCCTTCCTGTCAGCTGGCCGTGTGGTCACCATGAAGACAGCCACAGTGTGTGTGTGTGTGTGTGCGTGTGTGTCTGCAGGCTGTTCAGCTGACTGTGTTTGTGTGTTTGAAACAGAGAACCAGCTGTCTGACTCTCTCTCAACACACACACACACACACACACACACACACACACACACACACAGAGGTTTTAAAATAACTCTCCGCCTCGGTTGGAAACACTGATGATGTCATCCATCATCCTTCCTGTCAGGTGGTGTGATGTTAACCTTTGACCTTCAGAGCTCAGTAAAGTTTCTGATCCACCCCAAAACCATATTTTACTTTGAAGAGAATACTAATCTGACGTTCCTCCATCAATATGTTTTGATCAGAAACGTGATCAGTGAGGTGGAAACAAACAGGAAGTGATCGACTTCCTGTTTGTTTCCACCTGAAACAGAAAGTTTCATTTAAACTGACCTCTAGGAGGCGCCACAAATGCAAAAGAATGGGCGCGGCACAACACAAATCAGACTATACATCACAAATTATTTGTTCAGTCATCACAAACCTTGACTCTGTTTACAGTTGCACCTCTGACAAACAAACAAACAAACAAACAAACAAGTGTGGTTCCTGTTGTCTCACCTGGGACGTCCTCTGACAGGAAGGCCGAGTGTCTCGACACGAAGAGTTTCAGCTGCTGATCCAGAACAGACACATCCAGATCTACAGGCCAGCAGCGCACACCTGAAACACACACATGTAACACACACCTGATACACACACATATAACACACACCTGAAACACACACACAAACATACAACACACATTCACTCATTCACAGTGATGACATCACACAGACAGTGATGTAATAATAAAGTGTAACCAACGTAAACGTAAATAAAACTTTGACATCTAAAAGACTTGTGATGTGAGGAAGTCGACGTGCTGCAGCCAGGCTTCACTTCCTGTGTGTTCACGTTATTATGGGATGGCCAGGAGAAACTGTGGTGAATCCAGGCTGAAATAACTGAGCTGCATTATTCATCATTTTCATCACAACCAGCATCAGACTGGACGTCTTACTGGTTCACACAGTTTGAACTGGTGTTAAATCTGCACAGAGAGAAGAGTGTGACGTGTTTTCAGACAGAGTGAGATGTCTGTCCACGGTTCATCCTATCTCTGTCACATGAACTGTTTCCTCCTCAGCAAACAGGAAGCTGAAGATATTCAGTGACACCACTTCCTCTTTGAGGACCGACACGCAGAAAATTAAACCAGCAGCTCAAAACACAGACTGAGAACCAAAAACACTGAACCAGAACAGTCAGACAGGCAGACAGTCAGACAGGCAGACAGACAGACAGGCAGGCAGACAGACAGACAGACAGACAGACAGACAGACAGACAGGCAGGCAGACAGACAGGCAGACAGACAAGCAGACAGGCTGGCAGACAGGCAGACAGACAGACAGACAGACAGACAGACAGGCAGGCAGACAGACAGGCAGACAGGCTGGCAGACAGGCTGGCAGACAGACAGACAGACAGACAGACAGACAGACAGACAGACAGGCAGGCAGACAGGCAGGCAGACAGACAGGCAGGCAGACAGACAGGCAGACAGACAGGCAGACAGACAGACAGGCAGACAGACAGGCAGACAGGCTGGCAGACAGACAGACAGACAGACAGACAGACAGACAGGCAGGCAGACAGACAGGCAGACAGACAGGCAGACAGGCTGGCAGACAGGCTGGCAGACAGACAGACAGACAGACAGACAGACAGACAGGCAGACAGACAGGCAGGCAGACAGACAGACAGGCAGACAGGCAGGCAGGCAGGCAGACAGGCAGGCAGACAGACAGGCAGGCAGACAGGCAGACAGACAGGCAGGCAGACAGACAGACAGGCAGGCAGACAGGCAGACAGACAGGCAGGCAGGCAGGCAGGCAGGCAGACAGACAGGCAGGCAGACAGGCAGACAGGCAGGCAGGCAGGCAGACAGGCAGACAGACAGGCAGGCAGGCAGGCAGACAGACAGACAGACAGGCGACCATTAACTGACTGAAACACAATCATCTATAAACTGAACCAAAAATAAGCTGAACTGCACACAGTGTGAACACATGATGAACAGTAAGGCGTGTGTGAACACATGATGAACAGTAGATCGATTGTGTTCCTCGGAGGCTGTCTGTGTTTCAATGAGCTGATCACGTGTCAACACATTAAATCTTCGGGTGCTTCATCACTAGGTTCGTTGGAGATGAGCCAGGCCTGCGCAGATTCGATCACCGGCGATCAGCGCACAATGCATGCCGGTTAGTTTTGTGTCCTACTTCATCCCGACTTGCTCTGACTTATTACAAAAGTGGACGGTGATAAAACCGCGAGAGCGAGGCGGCTGCAGTTTTTAGAGCCAGGCGCTGCAGTTGCTCTCCACTGACTGCACCGCCTGGCTCTCACCTGATCTAACAGCTGATTGGTTCAGATGTCGACTCAACAAGATGACGTTTTAGATAAACTACTCATTTTTGTTGAATTTTAGAGATTTAGATTGTATTTGTCTGATTTGAAGGTTTATTCTGTGAACAGAAAACATGTTGTGTGACTGATGGTGAAAACAAACTGATATATGGGTCTGATCACTTTTTTAATGAATTGACATCATTCAGACAGGATGTAAGTGTGTCTGTGACTTCCTGTACGGACTGAAGGCTGCTGGAAACTGTCCGACTTCACCAGCTTGTCACCGCCCCCGCTGCGGCCGCCTGCTCTCGACTACTTTCCAGGTGAGGCGCAGTTCATCTCCAACGATCCTAGTGAGTTCTGACTGTTCACCTACTTTTACCGGAACAACATGAAAAACTGTCAAACTACACAACATCACTGACTTCCGGTGTGGCGGGATTTTCAAAATAAATGTCTCATGAGAATGGAGAAATGCTGCCAACATTAAAAAGTGATGAAGATTTAAAAACCAGTAAAATACAAAATTCGAAGAAACTTCGGTGAACACGTGAGTCTGAGAAGTTTCTGTAAATTAACCCTCAAACCGCCGAAAGAAACCAGACAACGTCACCAGATGTTACAGACGTCACAGACATATTAACTCATTATATATAATTAATATAAAAAAGTAAAAACCACCATAGTGTGTCTGATAAAGACCTGAACCCTGGGCCGGACAGGGTGGACAGGATGTCTCTCAGGTCCCGCAGTGAAATCAGCTCTAAATTTAACCACTAAAAACAGAAGCAGCTGCTTCAGTAACGTGTCCGTTGAACCTTGTGGTCACGGAGGGCGTGTCCTCGGTAACACCGTGTTTATTTACGGTGGATTTATGTTTTAATTTAATGAACAGACTTTAATAAAAGAATAAAAAGAAGTGACTTTAAACTGCGAAGGAAGAAGCTGGTGGACACCAGGCAGCTAACGTTAGCTAGCTTCATCATTATCATGCTAAACTCGTCTTTTCAGTCCCGGGAAATGTTTAAAGTGTCTTTTTCACCGGTAACCGTGTTACCGACAACACAAAACCTCCGTCAGAGGGTGCTAAGCTGCTGAATTAACCCTCGGGTGAACTCTGGAGACAACCCGGACAGGGACACAGTTTTTGGGCACAACACTTTCAGACATCGACGTCAGCTCTTCTTCTTCTTGGGTTTTATTGTGAAGGCTCCGCGGACTTCCCGCCGGTGTCCGTTAACTTTACCGACTCACCTGAGTCAATCTGCCGCAGCAGCCGCTCCAGCAGCCCGGCGGACCGCAGCGCCCCCACCACCACCAGCACCGAGTAATCCGCCGCCACAGGCCGGGAGGAACCGGGAGAAGAACCGGGACCGCCGCCCCGCTCCGCCGCCGCTGCTGCTGCCGCCATCATGGTTTGGACAGTCCACCAATGACGTCAGTCGGACACAAACACAAGCCCCGCCCTGCTCGGATAACAGGCGGGAAAATATTTTAAATGACATGCAAGGCGACCAATCAGAGAAGAGAAGTGAGCAGTGTGACCAATCACAGGAGACTGGTGCGTTCAGGTGCTGTGGAGGAGGAATTAGTATTTATAAAGAGTTCAACCCCGAGATTTTAGAGATATTTAATATTTAATGGATAATATCTATATATATGAATTTTGTTTTCAACTTTGTTTTGAATCTTTAAAAGTTCTTTAATAACAAAGTTAAAGTGTACACATGTATGAACATGTATGAAGATAATGTGATAAGAATAACATGGTAGTAAATATTCTGTAAAACCCCTGTTAAGTTTTTCATGATAATTTTTCAATTTATGATCATTAATTATTATTTATTTACCTCCTGTTTTATTTCTTTCATATGACTCTGCTGCTTGGATCATTTCCAACTGTGTCTTTGTTATTTCACAGACGCACCGCCTGTATGTTGTTTTTAAAATGTTTCTTGGTTGTTGTTGAGTTTTTATTCTGATGTAAACAACAAACATATGACAAATATTCACTGAAAGAAAGAAGAGAAGAAGAAAACAACGGACACATTATAGAACATTTAAAGTTAATATATTCTTAGTTAAAGTGGTCCTGGCGATCAAACAAAACTTAAATCATGTTAATTTTTAAAAGAAACGTTTTTAACAAATAAAGATTGTTTGGAAAGAACTTCCATTGTTCTCACAGAAAGTCATTTTTAGCGCTGTAAACATTTATATTTTCATCTGTGGTTAGTTTGTAGTTACAGTTATAAATTTGGTGTTAAAGTATCTGATGATCGTGGTCCCAACACTTAAGTGTGATCAGTGACAAATAAACTGTTAAACTCATGACTTTAACTTCAGCTACAAATATTTAAATCTGATGAACACCAACATTTAAAATGTGTTAACCCGGAGGATCTGACGTCACGACAAAAGGTCTGGGCACTATCTCCTCAGTGATTCCTACAGTTATGTGAGCGTCTGAACGCAGCACGCAGCGTCCCGCCTCCAACATGGCGGCCCCCCTGCCCGGCAGATGTGGCTTCTTCGTGAAGAAAAAGAAACGTTTCTGTAAAATGATCATCGCTAGAGGGAAAGTGTTCTGTGGAGAGCACGCGACCATGGTGAGTTCACGGACACGTGCTGAGTTCACGGACCCAGGGAGAACACAGAGAGTGAAGAGCTGATCAGTAAATACTGATCATCATTAAAGTCTGATCAATAAAGTCTGAAGTTTAAACTTTATTAGTTCGATAGTTTACAGATAGTTTACAGACAAGGTTTAGTTTATTAAGCTGTACAGAGAACAGCTGTGAGTCTCTGACGGGCTCTATAGAACATTCATGAAGCTCCGCCTCCAACACTGTATCCAGGTCTGTTTATACATCTGTACCTGAAACCATAGATATATATAATCATTAGATGACTTATTCCTGTGGCTACTGAGCGTCAACGTCGCCGCCATCTTGGGGAGGTCACTGCCGGCTGGCTAGTACTGTTGTGTATGGAGATAAGTCTTCAGCAAACTCGGCGTGCTCACTCAAAAGTCTCAAAGTGTAATTGGGTGCCGGTCCAAAAAATTAGAGCAAAGCAGAAAAACCCGACAGCACTCACTAATTTGTTTTTTTCTTTTTTTTTTTGTTGTCTTTTTTTTTTTATTCGTTCGTTCGTTTTTTTTTTTTTAGTCTTCTTTATTTTTTTGTATTTTTCTTTTTAGTGAGTGCTGTCGGGTTTTTCTGCTTTGCTGTAATATTTTGGACCGGCACCCAGTTACACTTTGAGACTTTTGAGTGAGCACGCCGAGTTTGCTGAAGACTTATCTCCATACACAACAGTACTAGCCAGCCGGCAGTGACCTCCCCAAGATGGCGGCGACGTTGACGCATCACTGAAACGGGCTGAAGCTGTCAACAAGTTATCTACTGTATGTGATATTTATGCCTGAAACACCTAATGATGTGTGCTGTGATGTCATCACCCACCTGTTAAGAGCTTCCTGTTTCCTGTTTCCAGGAGGAAGGAAGCAGCAGGAGGATCGTATGTCCTCTGGACCCCAAACAGTGAGTCAGCTGATCGATCACAGTATTGATCTGAGTCACCACAGATAAAGACATGTTGATGTTTTTATGTTGTAGATTTATATTATTGAAGCTCTGTGACTTCCTGTCTGTGACTTCCTGTCTGTTTGACCCTTCAGCACTGTGAGTGAAGACAAATTGGACAAACACCTGAAGAAGTGTAACTCCAGAGAGAAACCAAAACCAGTGAGACAAACTTCACTTCCTGTGTTTTATGCTCTGTGCTGCGTTCACTGTCCCCACCTGAGACTCTGTCTCAGAGTTTTAAAATCGTCCTGTTTGACGTCCTGCAGGTTTATTATGTGGAGAACATCAATGCTGGATCAACTGGAGACAAGACGCTGCAACAGGTAACACCTCACCTGCTGAAGAATTCACATCATAATGATGATGATGATGATGATGATGTCATCTGTGTGTCAGGTGAGTCTGTCTGAGCGCAGCAGGACAGAGTTACAGTCTCTGATGGACAAACTGAAGACAGCTGTCACAGGTGAGTGTCTACATCTACCTGTCAGTTATCAGATGATGATGATGATGATGATGGTGATGATGACAATGATGATGATGCAGGACTGCAGTGTGATGTGGAGGACAGCGTTCTGTCTCACCCTGTCCTCCAGGAGGAACTCAACAACCCAAAGAACGGAGACTTCGCCCACAAACACCTGAAGCAGCAGGTACACGTTCAGTTGGATACCGTACGCATCATTTTCCCGCAGTGTCGACATGTTTCAGTGTTACACAGGCTTCAAGGCGTGTTTCCTGTTGTTTGGTGGGCGTGTCAGAGGTGTCAGCCAATCAGCAGCTGCGTGTATATAAATTATTATTTTTATTTCTCATTTGTTTTGATGATGTAACGTGTGTTTCCTGTGATGTAAAGACCCTCTGAGTTAAACTGAATTAAACCCCGCCCTCTTAAAAGGAACAGGAACAGGAAGTTCACCACACCACTGTTTGTTTTTTTGGAGCCAGAAGTGACCATATTTGTGTGAGAGGGCGGAGCTGTGGAGGAGCAAAGGGCGGAGCTGTGGAGGAGCGAAGGGCGGAGCTGTGGTTTCTGAGGATATACCAAGTATCGACCTCTGAGTCTGAAACCTGCAGTTCCTCTAATGTCCACTAGAGGCTGGCTCCAGGAGTGAGTCCGTCCCCACAGACCTCTAGGTTCACATGTAGAAACAAACATTGTGTACTTCCTGTTTGGTCCTTGGATCACTCCAACGTTCATGACGGCTGTACAGGGCAGAACTTTTCAGTTGCCCTCGTTCTGATGTCATATGATACACCGCCATGTGGTGACAGTGTGTAACTAGTTGGTTGTGGCGTCCCAGAACATAAAACACAGACACAGGAAGACACCTGACAGGTAATATACAGATGTGACAGTTGACTGCAAAGCAGCGACATGTGACGGATTTGAAACGGGTTTGAACTTTCATACAATTCAACTGTTTACATTTCATTAGCCCCGCCCCTCACTCATCCACAGCCCCGCCCTCTCACCCAAACGTGGTCACTTCTGGCTCCAAAAAACAAGATGGTGACAGCAGAGATGTTGAACTAGAGGCTTCAGTCCACAAACTGATGTGTTTACAGTCAGAGGGGACAGACTCAGTCTCAGAGGGACATCAGAGGTTCAGGCTTCCTCTGTCTGTCTGTCTCTCACCTGTCAGGTGTGTCCAGTCCTCTCTCTTAGGTCACTTGGAGGCGCTGGGGCTTCTGAGAAGGGGGCGGTGCTTCGTAGAGTTTGGAGCAGGTCGAGGGAAACTGTCTCACTGGATCCATGAAGCCCTGAAGACCAGAGACCAAGTGGAGACCAGAGACCAGCAGGACACTAGTGAGGACCTGCAGCTGCTGCTGGTGGAGCGCTGCAGCACTCGCTTCAAGGCAGGAAAACCTCTTAACTCCAGCAGCAGTTACATGTGTCAACCAGCAGGGAACGTTTAATTTGACGACATGTTAGGGCTCATTAATGCTCAATGTTAGAGACAAAGACAGAGACAGACGGAGACAGAGACTTCTGCCCGTCCTCTGTTCATTTCATCTGTATTTGTGCAAGTTTTCTTAAAGTTCACAGATTCAGACCAAACAGAGCAGAACCATCAGACGACGTAGAGTAGTTCAAGTAAGATACAACATAGAGTAGTTCAAGTAAGATACAACGTAGAGTAGTTCAAGTAAGATACAACATAGAGTAGTTCAAGTAAGATACAACATAGAGTAGTTCAAGTAAGATAGGACGTAGAGTAGTTCAACTAAGATACAACATAGAGTAGTTCAAGTAAGATACAACATAGAGTAGTTCAAGTAAGATAGGACGTAGAGTAGTTCAAGTGAGATACAACGTAGAGTAGTTCAAGTAAGATACAACATAGAGTAGTTCAAGTAAGATACAACGTGGAGTAGTTCAAGTAAGATACAACATAGAGTAGTTCAAGTAAGATACAACATAGAGTAGTTCAAGTAAGATAGGACGTAGAGTAGTTCAACTAAGATACAACATAGAGTAGTTCAAGTAAGATACAACATAGAGTAGTTCAAGTAAGATAGGACGTAGAGTAGTTCAAGTGAGATACAACGTAGAGTAGTTCAAGTAAGATACAACATAGAGTAGTTCAAGTAAGATACAACGTGGAGTAGTTCAAGTAAGATACAACATAGAGTAGTTCAAGTAAGATACAACATAGAGTAGTTCAAGTAAGATAGGACGTAGAGTAGTTCAACTAAGATACAACATAGAGTAGTTCAAGTAAGATACAACATAGAGTAGTTCAAGTAAGATAGGACGTAGAGTAGTTCAAGTGAGATACAACGTAGAGTAGTTCAAGTAAGATACAACATAGAGTAGTTCAAGTAAGATACAACGTGGAGTAGTTCAAGTAAGATAGAACATAGAGTAGTTCAAGTAAGATACAACATAGAGTAGTTCAAGTAAGATAGAACGTAGAGTAGTTCAAGTAAGATACAACATAGAGTAGTTCAAGTAAGATACAACATAGAGTAGTTCAAGTAAGATACAACATAGAGTAGTTCAAGTAAGATACAACATAGAGTAGTTCAAGTAAGATACAACATAGAGTAGTTCAAGTAAGATACAACGTAGAGTAGTTCAAGTAAGATACAACATAGAGTAGTTCAAGTAAGATACAACATAGAGTAGTTCAAGTAAGATACAACATAGAGTAGTTCAAGTAAGATACAACGTAGAGTAGTTCAAGTAAGATACAACATAGAGTAGTTCAAGTAAGATACAACATAGAGTAGTTCAAGTAAGATACAACATAGAGTAGTTCAAGTAAGATACAACGTAGAGTAGTTCAAGTAAGATACAACATAGAGTAGTTCAAGTAAGATACAACGTAGAGTAGTTCAAGTAAGATACAACATAGAGTAGTTCAAGTAAGATACAACATAGAGTAGTTCAAGTAAGATACAACATAGAGTAGTTCAAGTAAGATACAACGTAGAGTAGTTCAAGTAAGATACAACATAGAGTAGTTCAAGTAAGATACAACGTAGAGTAGTTCAAGTAAGATACAACATAGAGTAGTTCAAGTAAGATACAACATAGAGTAGTTCAAGTAAGATACAACATAGAGTAGTTCAAGTAAGATACAACGTAGAGTAGTTCAAGTAAGATACAACATAGAGTAGTTCAAGTAAGATACAACATAGAGTAGTTCAAGTAAGATACAACGTAGAGTAGTTCAAGTAAGATACAACATAGAGTAGTTCAAGTAAGATACAACGTAGAGTAGTTCAAGTAAGATACAACATAGAGTAGTTCAAGTAAGATACAACATAGAGTAGTTCAAGTAAGATACAACATAGAGTAGTTCAAGTAAGATACAACGTAGAGTAGTTCAAGTAAGATACAACATAGAGTAGTTCAAGTAAGATACAACATAGAGTAGTTCAAGTAAGATACAACATAGAGTAGTTCAAGTAAGATACAACGTAGAGTAGTTCAAGTAAGATACAACATAGAGTAGTTCAAGTAAGATACAACGTAGAGTAGTTCAAGTAAGATACAACATAGAGTAGTTCAAGTAAGATAGGACGTAGAGTAGTTCAAGTAAGATACAACGTAGAGTAGTTCAAGTAAGATACAACGTAGAGTAGTTCAAGTAAGATACAACATAGAGTAGTTCAAGTAAGATACAACATAGAGTAGTTCAAGTAAGATAGGACGTAGAGTAGTTCAAGTAAGATACAACGTAGGAGACAACGTAGAAATTTTAATCATGGCGGAAAACAACGTATCAGTCACACAGTGAGAGGAATTATCCGTCCACATGTCAGGATGTATTTAATGACCTCAGAGACCGCCGCCATCTACAATGCTGCCTCCATTTAAAGGTCCAATATTTTGACCTACTTTCCCGTCACCTCGTATGTTGTTATGAAACGTTTGACTCCGCCCTCTAGTGCCATCTATTGGCTAAATCTATGACATCAGAAAGGACACATGGACGTGTGAGGACAGAGACATTAACAGTGTTGGAAATGGACCCATCTATTTTCACATGATTCTCAAACCTGGTACAGTTCATCTGGTCTCACTGGTCTTGTCTTGTGTCTCTTGTCCTGTCCTGCAGGTTGATGGGAAACATCAGGACACAGGTGCTGACTTTGAGAGGCTTCAGGTGGACATCCAACATCTGGATCTGAGTAAGAGATAAAGATGTGGACTCTGCTGGTCTCTGTGGTTCCTGTGGGTCTCTGTGGTTCTCTGTGGGTCTCTGTGGTTCTTTGTGGGTTTCTGTGGTTCTCTGTGGTTCTCTGTAGGTTTCTGTGGGTCTCTGTGGTTCTCTGTGGGTCTCTGTGGTTCTCTGTGGGTTTCTGTGGTTCTCTGTAGGTTTCTGTGGGTCTCTGTGGTTCCTGTGGATCTCTGTGGTTCCTGTGGGTCTCTGTGGTTCTCTGTGGGTCTCTGTGGTTCTCTGTGGGTTTCCGTGGTTCTCTGTGGTTCTCTGTGGTTCTCCTTGGGTTTCTGTGGGTCTCTGTTGTTCCTGTTGGTCTCTCTGGTTCTCTGTGGCTCTCTGTGGGTTTCTGTGGGTTTCTGTGGTTCTCTGTAGGTTTCTGTGGGTCTCTGTGGTTCCTGTGGATCTCTGTGGTTCCTGTGGGTCTCTGTGGTTCTCTGTGGGTCTCTGTGGTTCTCTGTGGGTTTCCGTGGTTCTCTGTGGTTCTCTGTGGTTCTCCTTGGGTTTCTGTGGGTCTCTGTTGTTCCTGTTGGTCTCTCTGGTTCTCTGTGGCTCTCTGTGGGTTTCTGTGGTTCTCTGTGGTTCTCTGTAGGTTTCTGTGGGTCTCTGTGGTTCCTGTGGATCTCTGTGGTTCCTGTGGGTCTCTGTGGTTCTCTGTGGGTCTCTGTGGTTCTCTGTGGGTCTCTGTGGTTCTCTGTGGGTTTCCGTGGTTCTCTGTGGTTCTCTGCTGTTCCTGTGGGTCTCTCTGGTTCTCTGTGGTTCTCTGTGGGTTTCTGTGGTTCTCTGTGGCTCTCTGTGGTTCTCCTTGGGTTTCTGTGGGTCTCTGTTGTTCCTGTTGGTCTCTCTGGTTCTCTGTGGCTCTCTGTGGTTCTTCTTGGGTTTCTGTGGGTCTCTGTTGTTCCTGTTGGTCTCTCTGGCTCTCTGTGGGTCTCTGTGGTTCTCTGAGGTTCTCTGTGGGTCTCTGTGGACCCTCTGACCTGTTTGCAGGTAAAGTCCAGCTGATCACGCAGAAGAAGCTCCCGCTGGTCGCGGTCGGGAAACACCTGTGTGGAGCGGCGACAGGTGAGCGCGGTCCTCGACTCTGATTGGCTGCCAGGGAAGGTTGCAGAGTGTGGACTGACTCACCTGGTCTCTTGTGTCCCTGGTCTTAGATCTGGCTCTGCGCTGTCTGCTGGGAAAACCAGGACCCGGAGAGGAGACCAGACCGCCAGTCCCGAAACGCCTCAGAACTTCGGAACCAGCTGATTCAAGAGATCTGCCAGGTCCTGGTCCTGGTCCTGGTCCTGGTCCTGTGCTGGGCCTGGCAGTGGCGCTGTGCTGTCACCATCGCTGTGAGTGGCGTCACTATGTCGGGCAGCAGTTCTTCGAGCAGCGAGGACTCGGAGCTGCAGAGTTCTCAGCGTTCTGTCGGATGTCCAGTTGGGCCACATGTGGACTTAGACCGACCAATCAGGACAGTCCGCCTCAGGATTCGACCAATCAGAGAGGAGACGATGAAGAGCACGAGCCGGCAGAGGAGACAGACATTGTGGGCAGGTAAACATTTGACCTCTGACCTGTCAGTCCAGAATTTAAGCTTTGTTTCAGACAGACGGAGACGTTTTAATGAAGAGACGCAACATCTTCTTCTTCATCTTCCTCTCCGCAGCTTCCTGTCGGCAGACGAACGCCAGCGTGTCGGTCGTCTCTGTAAACGTCTGATTGATGGCGGCAGACTGGACTTCCTGAAGTCGAAAGGATTTGACAGCAAACTGAGCGGTTACGTGAGCAGTCATGTGACTCTGGAGAACGTCCTGCTGAGCGCCGTCCCCTCGTCTCCGTCCTGAAGGTCAAACTGAGACAAAGTCTCAGAGTTTCTGTCCATGTGTAAATGTTACGTAATAAAGTTTGACTGGAGTTCAGTCTGTCTGAAAACTTTATTTAAAACTAAACTCTGACACACGACATGTTTAATAAAGTTATTTCAGCTCCACAAACACAAACATGAACACAGACGGCGTCCTTCAGGAGACGCTACTGTCAGAGGAAGAAGAGATGAAGAGCCGCTCGCTATCTTAGTCCTCGTTTGGCTCTGAAACAAAAACACCATCTTCATCATCATCACCATCATCATCACCATCATCACCATCATCATAATAATATTAATTTTATAACATGTTAATAAAACATGTCAATAACATGTTTTATTAACATGTTATGTTATTATTAATAACATAACATGTTATAACATGTTTCAATAACATGTTATAAACATGTTTCAAATAACTTTTTTTTTTTTTAAAAATGTTATTAATAAACATGTTATAAACATGTTTATTAATGGTGCAGCTTCAGTTTAAGACCTGAGTCAGTGAAACAGGAGTCTGACTGGATCAGTCAGGTTTTTGTTGTTATTGTTGTTGTTATTGTTATTGTTATTGTTGTCTTTGTCGTTGTTGTTATTCTCAGTGAGCGGCTGAATGTGACTGATGTTCTCTGACAGGAGCTTCACACCAACACATCACTGAATTATTGATCAGTTTCCTGTCAGAGGAAGTGAGGTCATTCAAACATGACATCACAGCTGATCCAGCACTGATTAATCTATCAGTATTGATCACAGATAATACTGAATCAATCAAACTCATTGTTACAGGACAGTGTCAGACATAAATGACATGCTGCTGACATCAGTCTCTGTTTCAGAGATCAGGCTCAACAAACTCTGATCCTGATCCTGATCCTGATCCTGATCCTGATCTCCGGGTTGACTGAGCCTGAGCTGAGAAACAGAACAGCTGATCAGGATCAGTTCAATCAGCTGTGAGTATGTTCAGCCTGAGAGAGGTGCGTTCACAGTGAGCACCAACAGACATCATCAGTAGAGTGCAGATAACATGACTCTCAGAGACAGGAAGCAGAACTTGTTTCATCCCAACTGAAGACATGAAACAAATCTCTTGCGTCAGCTGCAGCTGAACATGGTGAGGTGTGATGGGAACAGACTGCAGAGTTAACAGGTAATGTGAGGTGATGTCATGTGATGAGGTCACGTGTCTAACATACAGAAACATGTTTCTATCTTAACAGTGTTCATATATTTGAATATAAGTTATTCAGCTGTAATGTGATGGAGCCCAAACACACTGGGCACAAACTCAACATCAAACACACAGATATTAAACGGACTGGTAAAAGTTTTGTTTCTACTGACTTCATTCTGTCAATATTAGGCTGAGGTTCATTTAACTGCTGTGAAATGACTTCATGTAATCTCCTTTATTCTCACATGGAGCTATTATGGGATGTTGAGTCCCATCAGTGAGCCAGTTACACCGCGGAGTCTTTGAATATATGAAAAGTATTCATGAATCACTGCATCATGTGTCCACGTAGATTCATTTCTCATCAACACTGACAAACCTGCAGTTCTTTTATTAAACATTATTTTTTGGGCTTTTGTTGCCTTTAATGTCAGGACAGCATAACGTTATGGGGAGAGAGGGAACGACATGTAGCACAGGACAGCAGGCTGGGTTTGAACCCGCGGCCGCTGCATCAGATCACGGGGCGTCCGCTCCATCCACTGAGCCACCGATGCTCCGTGGTAATTACTTTAATAATGGATTGTGATTTATGTCCAGGGAAAACCACAACAAGGGTCCAAAGTCTTTTCAGAGCCAGAGACACTTTTCTTACGGGCCGACAAACCGCTGTCTCTCTGATGTGTTCAGTGTCTCTGATGTTATAAAGAAAAGAATCAAAGGACAATGCATAAAATGTGCTGTGATGATAATGTAAATCCAGGATGTGTAATATGTGATATATGTGGGTGG